TACACGCCGCCCCGAGAGACAAGGCCCCTGACCCAGATGGGAGGGGATAAAAGCGGCCTGGATCCCAGGAGGGAAACATCAGCCCTGCCACGTCCAGGGCAGCTGGCACTTCAGCAAGCGCGTCACCAAGGCCGACAAGGCCACATGGCACCCGCCTGAGGCCTCGCCACGGCAGCACAAAGCCACTCACCAGAGACGTCCGACCCGGGCTCCGAGCCTGGCGCGGCCCAACGCTCTGCTCCATCTCGGGACTCGCCTGCATGGGCTCCTAGATCTCCCCAGATCTCCTAGAGAGCCCTAGGCAGGCTCAGGGAGGTCCCTTCATCCACCCCCCCTCATGCAGCCACGAGAGAGACAAATAAAGAACCAGGCACAATTCTTAAGCCTCCAGACTGTTCCCTTCCCCGGCGCTTGGCTCCCTCCCTGCAGGGTCCCTCCTGCTGACGTCCCGCGGGTCCCCGTGCTTTTGCTCCCTGCAGAGGACTCCCAACCTGCCCTGGGCCTGGAGGGACAGAGCGCGACCCCCAGGACTTGCAAAAGCAGCCACGAGAGAGACAAATAAAGAACCAGGCACAATTCTTAAGCCTCCAGACTGTTCCCTTCCCCGGCGCTTGGCTCCCTCCCTGCAGGGTCCCTCCTGCTGACGTCCCGCGGGTCCCCGTGCTTTTGCTCCCTGCAGAGGACTCCCAACCTGCCCTGGGCCTGGAGGGACAGAGCGCGACCCCCAGGACTTGCAAAACCAACCCACTGCAAATCTCACGCCCAGGGGCCTGGGCCAGGGCAGTGGGTTCGAGGGAAGGTGCCAACCCGGAACCGGCTAGCGCAGCAGGGTCCCTCCTGCTGACGTCCCGCGGGTCCCCGTGCTTTTGCTCCCTGCAGAGGACTCCCAACCTGCCCTGGGCCTGGAGGGACAGAGCGCGACCCCCAGGACTTGCAAAACCAACCCACTGCAAATCTCACGCCCAGGGGCCTGGGCCAGGGCAGTGGGTTCGAGGGAAGGTGCCAACCCGGAACCGGCTAGCGCAGTTTTGCTCACCATTCCCAAGACCCCTGCTCCTCTCCGGGCTGGACCAGAAGTTATCACTCACCCCCCTGGGGCAACTGCCATCTGCACCCACTGGCACCGCGGGGACCAGCCCTGCAGGGGTGGGCGCCTCTTTCTATCCCATGCAAAGGCGGCACACAAGGGACCCACCAGCTGGCCCACTGGCCAGCAGGATTTAACACAACAGAGCACTGCATTCTGGGAGATATAAACTGTCACACGACTGCGGGCCAGCGACCGACACTGCCCTGAGCCGATCCACACTCGGGCTGTTCCCAGCAGCCGCTCACCTTCGCGGACCCAAATATCGAGGCTGTCTGAAGCTCCCGCTCTTCGTCCTCCTTCCGAGGGTGAATGACCAGGGTCACGTGACAACCGTTGTCCGTGGCAAACTTCCGGAAGGCACCCACGATGTAGTCTTGGACAGCAAGCCTGGAACGGGAAGACGGCAGCAGGGCGATAAGGAAGAGAGACCGGGGCTCACAGCAGGGCAGGGAAGTGCTTACCACATGCAGAGAACTGGCCTTGTGCAAGAAGAGCAAAAGGGCAAGTGGGGACGTGGGAGCCATGGGCTTGAATCCCTGCTCTGCCACAGACTGGGTGACCCTGGGCACATCCCTTAGTCTTACGGCGCCTCAGTTCCCATCTGTGGAACGGGACGACAGCCTTGCCCGGCCTCGCCAGGGTGCAGTGAGGATAAATATGTGTATTCACGTGATGATAAGACACACTGCACAGCTACAGCTCTCTGGGGAGCGGGGGGTGAGGACCGTTATCCCCACTGAACAGATGAGACTATGGAGGGATATGACTGAAGTTTATACAATCATGACCGGTGTGGAAAAAGAGAATAAAGAAAAGTTCTTTACTATTCCCACAATATAAGAACTAGGGGCCACCCAATGAAATGAATAGGTAGCAGGTTTAAAACCAACAAAAGAAAGCTTTTCTTCACACAATGCACAGTCAACCTGTGGAACTCCTCGCCAGAGGATGTTGTGAAGACAGGACTTGGACAGGATTCAAAAAGGAGCAAGATAAATTCATGGAGGTTAGATCCAGCAATGGCTAGCAGTGACAGGGGAGGGATCACTAGATGATTCCCGGTTCTGTTCCCTCCCTCTGGGGCACCTGGCATTGGCCACTGTGGGCAGACAGGACACTGGGCCGGATGCCTTGGGTCTGAGCCATTCTGGCTGTTCTTATGTAACGGGACCTCATGTGAAACTTAGGGCCCCTAGATGCTCCCATGACACACGTGATACTGAACCAGATTCCCTAAATCTATTCTCCAGGCAGGGACGAGGAAAGGCTCTCGGGGCTACATGGGGCGAGGTCAGAAGCAGAACGAGGGAGGTGGGGCTGAAGGAACCAGGGCTACGTGGGAGAGGCCTGCAGGAGGCGGTTCCATGCCAGGGAGTGGGCACCTGCCCGGAAGGGGGTTACCTGTCCACCGAGAGCTGCTCCTGCCCCATCATGAACTGGAGGTTGTCTATGACCACGTGGCTGATGTCATACATGTACACGGCGTGCAGCATGGTGTCTATCACTGCCCTGAGCGGGGAGGAGAAGAGGACACAGACTCTGGAGAACCATTCCCTGGAATGGTGCCTGTTCCCTCCAATGTCCCGCGACAAGAAGCATTTGGGGCCAGGGACGGTGACCTGCTTTCAGCCCCAGGCAGACACTTGGCATTACTGACCCTCTAGCGCCCTCTCTGAGGCATGCCCCAGCGGGCTGGGCACAACACTCGGAGCCAAGAGCTGCCTCGCAGCTCTACCAGCCGCTCTAGTGCGCCCCTGGCAGAGTCCCTGCGCCCCCAGGGCAGATCACTGCTGCAGGCACCGTCAATACAGCGCCACGGTCTTAAGAGAGGGGGCTGCTGGCAGACACATTACTTGATGTTCTGGTGTCCGTGGAAGGTCATGAAGTAGAGCGGCAGGTCCTCGAACTTGTCGGCCCACTGGTCAAACTGCTCCAGCTGCTCCTCCAACCGCCTCTCCGCAAATTGGGTCAGCATGATCTTGGCCAGGCGCACGTTGTTAATCTCGAAGCTTCCCCAGAGGGTGTTCACCCCCTGCATGCAGAGGTCCAGGGCGTACTCGCTGATAAAGGTCGTCTTCCCACTGCCCGTCGGGCCTGTTGCAATGGAAATCGGGTTACAGGTGGGCTGGAGCAGACTGGCTCCCCTGCCTTGCCAGCCAGAGGATGCCATGGCAGGGGCTGAACGTCAGGAAACTTTTCCCAACGGAGAGGGCCACTGGACTAGAGAAGACCGTCCTTGGTTGGGAATCATTTATCAGGGGCCAGGCTTACCTAGAAGTACTTCAAGGGATCACTTGCACTCAGGAGTCCTAGAGAAACTTCTGCTGGGGTCTGACATTTAAGTGGGGGTGGGAACAAGGGGGAATAGTATTTCTGAGGCCAATGGTGTGAAAACAGGCTCTTTATTTCATCCGTGTTTGGCACCTCCCGCTCATTCCTCTCTGGAAATCAGCCTGGCTCTTGGTAACTTGCAGTCAGCTGTTACCAGCACCGGAGAGCAATTCCAGGTGGGGAAGAGAGTATTAAAACAGTAACCCATCGGTCCCCAGCAGCCACCCTGATGGAGAGCCGGCTATTGCATTGCCAAGGACAAGGGGAGAGACAAGGGTTCCTCTGCAGGAAGGGAGAGACTCTGCCCCACTCCCCCCGACCAACACAGGACAGAGGGACGAAGTGCTCACACCCAGCGGCTGAAGCTGCAAGGAGTCCCACTCTCCCAACCCCCTCCTCACGCCGCTCGCCAGTCACCTGTGAAGACGGTGAGCTCCCCTTTGCGGTGGCCCTTGAGGAGTTTGTTCAGATCAGGGAAGCGGGCCCACTTGACCCCAGCCACCTGCTCCACGTTGGCCAGCTCCCCGAACACCTCGTCCCGCAGCTGGCGGAAGGAGACTTTTGCAGCCACGAGAGAGACAAATAAAGAACCAGGCACAATTCTTAAGCCTCCAGACTGTTCCCTTCCCCGGCGCTTGGCTCCCTCCCTGCAGGGTCCCTCCTGCTGACGTCCCGCGGGTCCCCGTGCTTTTGCTCCCTGCAGAGGACTCCCAACCTGCCCTGGGCCTGGAGGGACAGAGCGCGACCCCCAGGACTTGCAAAACCAACCCACTGCAAATCTCACGCCCAGGGGCCTGGGCCAGGGCAGTGGGTTCGAGGGAAGGTGCCAACCCGGAACCGGCTAGCGCAGTTTTGCTCACCATTCCCAAGACCCCTGCTCCTCTCCGGGCTGGACCAGAAGTTATCACTCACCCACGTGGGGCAACTGCCATCTGCACCCACTGGCACCGCGGGGACCAGCCCTGCAGGGGTGGGCGCCTCTTTCTATCCCATGCAAAGGCGGCACACAAGGGACCCACCAGCTGGCCCACTGGCCAGCAGGATTTAACACAACAGAGCACTGCATTCTGGGAGATATAAACTGTCACACGACTGCGGGCCAGCGACCGACACTGCCCTGAGCCGATCCACACTCGGGCTGTTCCCAGCAGCCGCTCACCTTCGCGGACCCAAATATCGAGGCCGTCTGAAGCTCCCGCTCTTCGTCCTCCTTCCGAGGGTGGATGACCAGGGTCACGTGACAACCGTTGTCCGTGGCAAACTTCCGGAAGGCACCCACGATGTAGTCTTGGACAGCAAGCCTGGAACGGGAAGACGGCAGCAGGGCGATAAGGAAGAGAGACCGGTGCTCACAGCAGGGCGGGGAAGTGCTTACCACATGCAGAGAACTGGCCTTGTGCAAGAAGAGCGAAAGGGCAAGTGGGGGGCAGGATGGTCTAAGGGTTGGGGCGCTAACGCAGGACGTAGGAGCGATGGGCTTGAATCCCTGCTCTGCCACAGACTAGGTGACCCTGGGCACATCCCTTAGTCTTACGGCGCCTCAGTTCCCATCTGTGGAACCTTGCCCGGCCTGGCCAGGGGGCAGAGAGGATAAATATGTGTGTTCACATGGTGATGAGACACACTGCACAGCCACAGCTCTCTGTGTTATCCCCACTGAACAGATGAGACTATGGAGGGATATGACTGAAGTTTATACAATCATGACCGGTGTGGAAAAAGAGAATAAAGAAAAGTTCTTTACTATTCCCACAATATAAGAACTAGGGGCCACCCAATGAAATGAATAGGTAGCAGGTTTAAAACCAACAAAAGAAAGCTTTTCTTCACACAATGCACAGTCAACCTGTGGAACTCCTCGCCAGAGGATGTTGTGAAGACAGGACTTGGACAGGATTCAAAAAGGAGCAAGATAAATTCATGGAGGTTAGATCCAGCAATGGCTAGCAGTGACAGGGGAGGGATCACTGGATGATTCCCGGTTCTGTTCACTCCCTCTGGGGCACCTGGCACTGGCCACGGTGGGCAGACAGGACACTGGGCCGGATGCCTTGGGTCTGAGCCATTCTGGCTGTTCTTATGTAACGGGACCTCATGTGAAACTTAGGGCCCCTAGATGCTGGGCCGGATGCCTTGGGTCTGAGCCACTCTGGCTGTTCTTATGTAACGGGGCCTCGTGTGAAACTTAGGGCCCCTAGATACTCCCATGACACACGTGATACTGAACCAGATTCCCTAAATCTATTCTCCAGGCAGGGACGAGGAAAGGCTCTCGGGGCTACATGGGGCGAGGTCAGAAGCAGAACGAGGGAGGTGGGGCTGAAGGAACCAGGGCTACGTGGGAGAGGCCTGCAGGAGGCGGTTCCATGCCAGGGAGTGGGCACCTGCCCGGAAGGGGGTTACCTGTCCACCGAGAGCTGCTCCTGCCCCATCATGAACTGGAGGTTGTCAATGACCACGTGGCTGATGTCATACATGTACACGGCGTGCAGCATGGTGTCTATCACTGCCCTGAGCGGGGAGGAGAAGAGGACACAGACTCTGGAGAACCATTCCCTGGAATGGTGCCTGTTCCCTCCAATGTCCCGCGACAAGAAGCATTTGGGGCCAGGGACGGTGACCTGCTTTCAGCCCCAGGCAGACACTTGGCATTACTGACCCTCTAGCGCCCTCTCTGAGGCATGCCCCAGCGGGCTGGGCACAAGACTCGGAGCCAAGAGCTGCCTCGCAGCTCTACCAGCCGCTCTAGTGCGCCCCTGGCAGAGTCCCTGCGCCCCCAGGGCAGATCACTGCTGCAGGCACCGTCAATACGGCGCCACAGACTTAAGAGAGGGGGCTGCTGGCAGACACATTACTTGATGTTCTGGTGTCCGTGGAAGGTCATGAAGTAGAGCGGCAGGTCCTCGAACTTGTCGGCCCACTGGTCAAACTGCTCCAGCTGCTCCTCCAACCGCCTCTCCGCAAATTGGGTCAGCATGATCTTGGCCAGGCGTACGTTGTTAATCTCGAAGCTTCCCCAGAGGGTGTTCACCCCCTGCATGCAGAGGTCCAGGGCGTACTCGCTGATAAAGGTCGTCTTCCCACTGCCCGTCGGGCCTGTTGCAATGGAAATCGGGTTACAGGTGGGCTGGAGCAGACTGGCTCCCCTGCCTTGCCAGCCTGAGGATGCCATGGAAACTTTTCCCAACGGAGAGGGCCACTGGACTAGAGAAGACCGTCCTTGGTTGGGAATCATTTATCAGGGGCCAGGCTTACCTAGAAGTACTTCAGCGGGATCACTTGCACTCAGGAGTCCTAGAGAAACTTCTGCTGGGGTCTGACATTTAAGTGGGGGTGGGAACAAGGGGGAATAGTATTTCTGAGGCCAATGGTGTGAAAACAGGCTCTTTATTTCATCCGTGTTTGGCACCTCCCGCTCATTCCTCTCTGGAAATCAGCCTGGCTCTTGGTAACTTGCAGTCAGCTGTTACCAGCACCGGAGAGCAATTCCAGGTGGGGAAGAGAGTATTAAAACAGTAACCCATCGGTCCCCAGCAGCCACCCTGATGGAGAGCCGGCTATTGCATTGCCAAGGACAAGGGGAGAGACAAGGGTTCCTCTGCAGGAAGGGAGAGACTCTGCCCCACTCCCCCCGACCAACACAGGACAGAGGGACGAAGTGCTCACACCCAGCGGCTGAAGCTGCAAGGAGTCCCACTCTCCCAACCCCCTCCTCACGCCGCTCGCCAGTCACCTGTGAAGACGGTGAGCTCCCCTTTGCGGTGGCCCTTGAGGAGTTTGTTCAGATCAGGGAAGCGGGCCCACTTGACCCCAGCCACCTGCTCCACGTTGGCCAGCTCCCCGAACACCTCGTCCCGCAGCTGGCGGAAGGAGACGATGGACTTGTGCCCGGCAGGCAGGGCGGAGCGGACGATCTTGGAGAGGTTCATGCCACGGGTGAAAGCCTCCAGGGGCCGGGGCTGCTGGTCGCCGGGTCGCACCAGGGAGCAGCGCTTGGGGTTCAGCTTGCGGGGCCTCACCCAGCCACAGTGTGATGCGCTTGAACTGCTCTAGATAGGGAAGCAGGACGGGAGGCAGGCAAGTGACCCCACGGGGCAGTAAGCAAGCCAGTTGCCTGGTGCAATGCCAGGGTGTCCAGCTCCCGGCCTGTCAGCACCACCTCTGTGTCTCTGCGGCCGATCAGGGGCAACCCGAAGAGGTTGTGATAGGCGCTCGGCCGGGGCAGAGTGTTCTCCACGTAAAGTACCGTGTCCCCCTGGCACTCGGCCCCCAGTAGTTTCAGGCCCTTCAGTCCGGTGCCGCGAGGGTTGAACCAGGGGAAGACCAGGGTGCGGGCAGTCCTGAGGTAGCGCACGCCAAAGCGTTTCAGGGTGGAGTCCGACACCTTAGAGATGCCAAACGTGGCCTTGACCGTCCGAGTCTCCTCCTCCCCCAGTAGCTCCCAGAGCGGCAGGGCCCGGTCCCAGATGTGGCGGGCATCCTCCCCAGCCGGGTCCCCCCCCTCCAGCTGCTGCAGGCCGGCGCTG